ATTCTTAATGAACTTGAAATGAATGAACTTAGAAAAGTATTGATGGATGAGTATAGAGTGGGAATGTTGACCATTTACAATGTGAAATACCCCTGTAATCTGTGTGAAACATGCAAGAATTTGTATGAAAGAGCAACACAGGTTTTGTGAAAATTTGTAACTACAAATTTCCAAGGTACAGTACAGTACAGGAGTAGAAAAATCAAGAGTAAGAAAACTGAAAGAATTGTGAATGATGAAAAAAAAAAGAGAATATGTACTGTACTTTATTGAAGACATTAACCCTCTATCGCCTCAATTTTTTTACGTCCAGATTTTTTTTCTTCAGTTTTTTCTTTTTCTTAGTGTAGCAAATAAGGCATAAATTCATTCAGATTTGAAAAAGTCCCTATAATATAGAAGTTTTTGAAATGAGACAAAATTGTCACGTTCTTCAAGACACAAATGCCTTAATACATACAGTAGGCTCTCGCCAATAACGACTTCCACAATAACGTTTTCGACAATAACGTTAAGTTACAATAGATACCCATTTTCAATAATAACGTCTGGATTCTCTTGAATAACGGAAATTTCGCGGGAAGCGTCCGAGCGCATCAATGATAGCGTTTGTTTGCCGCCATGTTGATGACGTAGTTGTCCGCTCCGCCTCGCTCTCACACACGCTCAGTGGAATACAGCGCTGCGCCCACGTGTGAGATTTTCGCCTCTATAACCAGTGGTTGTTCGGGTCGGTGATCAATAATAGCTTCCGCATTTTTGCCTGTAGGGGCTAGAGGAGGTGGTGGAGGGAGTGATTTGCCACCTGAATGACTGGGAACTTTTAAAGTGAGGAAATTGAACTGTCCTGAGTCTACAGTGCGAAATATTAAGAGGAACTTAGAGGAGACCAAGAAGAGTATTGCGCTGGCTAAAAATATTTCGGTAGTGATGGAAATGCGAGGCGAGCTATGAATGATAAAGGCGATAGAAACAGGTTGTTAGTGATAACAGAGCATTTTCTTGTGAAATGGTTAGCTTGTAGAATGAAAGACAGTGCAAGTGTTAGCGGCCCTCAGATATGGAACAATCATCACACCAAGCATCTCAAAAACTCCCCCAAGCTAAGTGTTATATTACTCAACCTCTTTATTTTGATGATTGAATAGCAATTCTTTTTATTTCAGCTTACAAAAAGTGTTAGGCAGGGCTTCAAGGGAAAAAATGAGTGAAATTCTTGTGGTGGCGGCACCAATAAACCCTTTTTACATGTATTTTAATGTCACACAAATAACGTCTTCGCTAAAAACGGTGTTTTTCAGGCACCTATTAAACGTTATTGGTGAGAGCCTACTGTAATAATAAGCAGGTGGTAAAAACATTATCATGTAAAAACAATAATAAGCAAGTGGTAAAACAATTTTCCTCATGACTGTAAGGGGGTGGTGGGCTGCTTCTATCTATCTTATCTATTGGTGGCCTCTACCTTCCACAGCCAAGCATTTCTTTCCCTCCCACTAACTCGTTTTACAGTAGAAGTCCAAAAATCCGGACTGCTTGGGGATTGGGTCAGTCCGGATTTTCGTATTTTCCGGATTCTCAGGCAGTACTTTTAAAATTCAAATTTAAGGAGGAATAAAGAAGAGATGAACAGGTACATTTTGATAGTTTATGCATTCGCAAATATAGCATGCTTCATTTATCAAAACGAGCAGTTTTAAAGAGAAAGCTGTGAATTCTAGAATTTTATTCTTTGCCTTTTTTATATCATAAATTGTAGACTTTCCAATGTCGTATGTTTCCGTTAGAACAGTATTGCTCACACCATGTTCTAGTTTCTTAATTTTTTCAAGTTTGTCACTCAATTTCAACCTGTTCTTCTTTCTCTTCACACAACGAAGTTTATCTACTTTAGGAGCCATTATTATGGGCTTGTACAGTACTCTGCAAATGGAAAGAGTAGGACTCAAAATTACATGTTGTCACAGTTTGATTGCTCGTTTTAAAGTGGCGACCACGTGGTCACTTGTTGTCACTGTGCAGCTGTGGCGCTCACGCATGTGCACATACACACAAAAGCCTGCTAAAAAAAAAAAAAAAAAAAAAAATTGTTTTCGAAAAGCCCGGATTCTCGGGTGGTCTGGATTTCTGGCATCCGGATTTTTGGACTTTTACTGTACAATAACCGTTACAATTGCAACGCTTCCAAGACTCAATTTAAAAACAACTTACAACCACCAACAGCACTACAACCACTTTGTATCCCAACATTCACCTTACTGTATTTAGTGCCATGTAGTTTTATAAGCCTGGTGCTATTTTCTCTCATTACAATCAATGGAATCATGATTTAGCTTTAAATAATGTTGAAATTATTAACATCACAAAAAATAAAAAATTTAAACAATATTAACACACCACAATCAGGACATTCACCATCAGACTCAGTATCTGATGGATTGACATCATGCTCTTCACTCTGTGTAAAAATTCCATGCTGCAAAGGCCATAAAATCGGATGCTGTCCATACCCATTGAAAAGTGTTTGTTCAGACTAGAAAGATGATGTGAACTAGTTTGTCACGCTTGAACAATTACCGAGAAATATGTTTATTTCGTGCATATTATGCCTGTTTTTTCACACATACAATCAGTGGGATACTGCCTAATAGCTGTAAATTTTAAAAGCATGACACTTACCTGTAAATATGGGTCTTCAAACACAGAGCAATGTAACTCTGAAACCCGCCAGCTGATTCCTAGTAAACAAGAAAGCATAGATGCCACAGACACTGCCAATTAGAGGTGTTGCCCCTTGAGTATGTTCAGTCGAGCATAACAAAATCGGCACACTCCTCAGCAGCCCCATACTCTCTCTATCATGTGCCTGGCAGCCACTTATCTTGAGCATTACGAAATTGTCACTATCGTTATCATAGGGATATGAAAGTACAGTATGACCTATTAGATATTTGAAGGCTGACAGCCTGGTAAAGAATGATGATACCGGTAGTTTAGTAGATGGCAAATGTGAGATAGCAGGAAGACTTACTGTGACAAAGGTGGACAAATTGAATTAGTTAGCAAGAGTATGTTGGGGAAAGTTGCATAGAAAATAAAGTGTGGGCAAAGTGAAAGAACATTGATTCAAGAAGTGTAAAAACCCATACATTCACTAATATACAATGAACATGAGCTGAAGATATTGAATGAAGGCAAAGTCTAAGTTTGTGTGATTGGTTTTGATTCTAGCCACCCTACATTTTGGAGAAAAAAAAGTTTTTCTGTGTTCTTGATTTGCTTCACTGCAATCCTGAGTAAATAGGAAGTAACGTGTAAAATAAACTACTGTAAATCTTAATTATGTATTGATTTTACCAACTCTTCTCGTTAAATGGATAAATCTTAAGTTTCTGAGTTCAAACAGGAGAAAAAAACAAGCAGTATAGATGAATGATCTTAAATGTTTTATAGAAAATGAACACAAATAGTAAAGATGAAGATGTGAGAAAGGTGTACAGTGAACCCTCACTTTACGCGGTTAATTCAACCCACGGCGGCCCGCGTAAAGTGAGAAACGCAGAAAGTGAACAACATAACATATGGGATTAATTAAAATAGAGACCGGGCCGACCCCCAAACTCCACTTTTTCAGACACAATACCTACGTTGTAGTAAAAATAACTTTAATTTATGATGGTATGCACACACAATTAATAATTAAGAGAAATATCAATATTAGGTTTTTAACACTTACATTAGTAGAAAAGATGGCTGGGCACATGGGGATGGGGTTGGTTCCGAGGCAGAGGGCAGATTATTGGCCTCACCTGTATCACTTGTATCAATTGTATCACTATCCACCACAGAGGCCTGCAGGGCCTTTGTCAAACCTCAAAGTCCATATAAGTCCATATCCTCACTATCATTATCACTATCACTGACTTGGGCGGCTGTGGTGGGTGGCGGTGAAGAACTCGGTAATGTTTTGATGACTGGCTTATCTTACATCCTGCTTCGCCGCCTCCGCCAGAAAGGGTACACACACCATGAAAGTGAGCATTCCGGTTTTGGCAGGGTACGCCAGAACGCGGGAAAACGCTGTAAAGTGGGACCGCGTAAAGTGAGGGTTGACTGTACAGGGTGAGAATGAATCTAGAAAATCACATGGTCATATGTCTAATAAGATGGTATAGTACAGTCATGTACAATTAAGTCGGATGATTACTGGTAGAGAGATGGGCTAAGGAAGATGGACACAACCAATGAATTATAAATATTGTGGGGATTTCATATGATGGTCTTGATGATCATGATGTTAGAGGAATGATCAGTAATTGTGTGAAGTGAAAATGTTGTATGGGTGAGTGTGGAAAAATGAATGAACATCATATGTATTGCAGGAGTTAAAAATTTTTTTTTTTACATTCAACACAATTTTCTAAGTTTTTTTTTTTTGCCTTACAGTATGCAGTACTGTACTGTATATGATACAACTGTATTCCTTGCATGTAACAAGAGGCTTCTATAAGGATGTGAAATTGGGCTCTATAGGCCTGATGATCTGTTAGGAACAATGTGGATACAGCACACTGAATGCCTTTGGTACATGAGAAGGAGACAGCATGAACAGCACTGCACTTGATTCCCTTCACATCTCCATCTATGAAGTAAGGTACTCATTTATGGCTGGGTGAGTTGTGAGTGTCCTGAGAGTGAATCAAATACCCTAAGGACAGGGGGTGAGCTCTCTCTCTCCACAAGGTTGCTGCACCCAACGAGAATGTGAAGGTGGTGAAGTATTCTGGCTGATCATCCATTATGCTCAGAATAAGGTGAGGTTGATAAATAGGTTGGCATATATTATCCTGAATATTATAAATGGTACTGTAGTTATGGACAACAGAATCAAATTTGCTCTATCCACCTTTTATACAGTGCAGTATTATGTGCAGGGAATACTCTGAAGGATCTGTTAGAAACCAATATAATATTTCATAAAAGAAAGTAATATGAAATAATTTAATCAATGAAAACATTTATTTACCATATTACATATTTCATAGGTCAAGTTTGTTGACCAAAATATTTTTGCATATATGACAAACTCCATAAATGCACACTTGACCACAAATATAGAACCTAGTCAAACTAAGATAGATTATAATTGATCAACTGCTCTTCTGAATAATATATTAAAATGTATTGTTTTTGTGGTACAAAATGGCAGGATATTAAAAATCTTATCTCATTTAGGTTATAGGTTGAAGATTTCATACACACTGTGCAACCATGTTAAACCCTCAGTTCCAAGGAATGATGATAACTCTGAAGGGTTATGCTACTCTTGCTGTTACTTTTCTTTTGCCAATGTTTAACAGATATGTGCATCAATTAAATACTTACAGTACAGTATTCTAAAAAAAATCACCAACCGTTGTAGGGCTTCAATTTAAAGTTATACAGTACAGTATATGATACAATTTACTTTTTTATTTTGAAGGTGTGTAGCATAATAGGTTTATTTATGTTGTAGAGACTGGAGCATTAACATGATTGGATTATACTAATATAATCAGTGCCTGGTGTAAAGTACCCATAGGAAGACCTACTGAAGTTACTGAGCAATTAATTAGTAACTAGTGAAAGAATAAGAAACACAAATAAGAAAAAACAAAGAATCAGATTTATTTAAACTCAGAATATGAATATGCTGTAACAAAAAAATTTAAATTATTCTCAAAATAGTCTCCAACTTTACACTTAAGCACATCAGATATACAGTACCTGTAGTGCCAACCTTCTTGCATATACAGTAGTTATTACAATACTGTATAAAAATCCATTAATTCATACTGTATTACAAATAAAAATTTTGGTAATTGCCAATAAAATAAGCTATATCAAGTATAAATTGTTGTACACAAGTAAATGAAATCTTGGTTTTTAGGTCCCATAAGTCAAACCAATATAAAGTAATCAATTAATTTAAATTATAATAAAATGTATTGCTTCCACCATTCTAGGTAGCACCTTGTATAGCATATGGATGACCTAGGATGCAGAAAAGCCACAACAATGCTCAATAACAATATCAACATTGCCATTAGTCTGCATTACAGCCAATAGCCTGAGTTGTTTAACCAGTGTACTACTTACATAATTATTGTGTCCCTCTCAATGTAAGGCAGTGGTTATTAATGTGGGAGACATCTGTTCAGCAATGGAAAACTATTTTCAATCCATGCTGATGACATGCCTCAAGTCAGCTTACATATGAATTTCAACATCAGCATAACAAATGACAATGCTTACTACAGTATCCTGTAAACAAAGGTTATGCATACTGTACAAGTAAAACAATTTTTTCCTCTCTTACTAGTCACAAACATATTGGCATCTCAAGATTTTAGACAGCTTATCTCAAATACACACAAACTTTTATTTGGCATGTATATTTGTTAGTGTAACCATCATTCATGTAATTGTGTTATTATGAGACATTAAAAATTAAATTTCTACAAAAAATATGACAATTGAAAATCTCATAAAAACCTACACAATTTATATCAATAACGACTCCATGAAAAAGAGCAAGGCAACGATAATTCTGATGTCCCACAATTTTACATATTGTAATGTTTATGGTGTATAAGGGTTTATGAGATTTTCTGAGAAATCTTTAACTTGTTCCACACCACGGACCTCATGTTCAAGGAGTGGCAGTTTGATCACATGGAAATCTTCATACAAATCAGAGATCTGGAAAGAAATGCATACATTAGTGATATTAATTTTATTATTACTTACTCTATTAGTTTCATTTATTTAGCTGCTACTTACAAAACCATTATACAGTACTATACAGACATATAGCAGAAATCTAGCATCTTAAATAAGATTACAAAGTGCAAATCAATGCTCATTTCGTCCAACATGATTTTCTTAAGAATGAAACTTAAGTGATTAATCCTGAAATCCAATTTCTAACAGAGTGGGGATTGGGCAGCATGTCTAGGGGGGTTTAATCCCCAAGCCCAAAACATGTGACTGAAATCTAAAAATCAAATTAAATAAAACGTCAGCCCCCACCTTCATATTAGGTTCCAGAGGAAATACTCTGCATGAACATACCTAAAAGAAGAAGGCTGAGAGATTCTGCAGCATAGCATACACAAACATACTCTGATCTGCTTTAGATGTTAGTAGGTTTAAAGATAATATCATAAGGACCAAATCACTAAACCCTGCATGGACCTATATTTGGTGCTTGTTCTGACAGATTAGTGTTTCTAATGATTTTAGGCACCTATGTACAGTTCCAGGCATTAATATTATATAGGTGGCCTTGCTATACATTGTTAATGAATTTATGATACGAATGTGACAACCTTTAGAATACGAAACAACCATCTAATCCTTCAGCTACAGTCACACCATACATAAGTTGAATACCCCAACATTTCCCTCCAAGCACATCTTATTAAATTAAAAGTATGAGAACATTTATCCGTCATGCTTGAGACCTGGGAGTTGCAGGATATGTTTTTTTTCCGGAATTTGTATCACCAGGCCTCCCGGTAAATTGGTCTAAAAATGTACAGTAAGCCTTCTGTAACAAGCCATGGCCTCCAGATTAAATGCCCCCTAAAAGTAACTTTAACTGTACACTGTAACATTTAAACTTGAAATTGCAGGCACATAAACAGCAATAACAAAAGCATATACAGCTCCTCCCACTTACTTCCACTCGCCAATTTAACGACCACCCGACATACTACCTCGGCCGCATTCAAAATTTTGTCAAATTAATGATTTTCGAGTCCCAAAGTCAGTGACGCTGTACTGACAAAATTTCGTTTGTAATTCACTTTAAAATGGCTGGCAAGCTTAAAAGTGAGAGTTTTGTGGTACTGAGAAGTAAAAGAGACACCCATTTTAGATTTTCTATGTATTATTTAAGCATTTTCGACTTACGACCTGGATTTGGGTCCCTCTTCCCGTCAGAAGTCGGGAGAGCTGTAAATAGTAAAAATGAAAGTATAAAAAGAGGAAAATTATACAAGTTAGTGTACACACTGCATCACAGTCGCCCCTATTGCTTGCCTTAGCAATGCAGCAGCGTTTCTAGCAATGGTGTTCCACCACAAGACCTCTCCACACACTCACCACACAGCTTCATGGTGGAAACCTATAGATAGGTAAAGCTTTGCTCCCAATGAAAATGTTTTCATTTTGGTATGTAAGATTGAGTGTGTGTAACTGGGTAAAAAAAAAAAAAAATTAAATACATTTTTCCCACTGTTAATGTATAATCATATATTCATACCTTGTGATTTATAGTAAACTTCACAATATCTTACTTGGTCTTGATATTTGGCATGTGGAGAGAGAATGGATGAAACCAAATGGATCAAGATGTGTATGGCGCTTAATGTGGAAGGGAGAAAGCCAGGGGTAAGCCAAGAATGAAATGGGGAGAGGTTGTAAGAAATTACATTGAAGTTAGGAACCTGACAAGAGACTGGACGCGGTAACAGAGAGACGTGTCATCAGGCAACTTGAGCTAACCCACGTAAGTGTGGAAAATGTCTGTAAAATGCTGATGGTGGTGATGATCTAGAGATTTGGAGTAAATTTTATCAATGTCTTACCTGGTCTAGATATTTGGCCTGAATACGACATCGAGCAGAGCACATGGAACATGGCTGGTCACCCGGTTTTTGAAACAGGAGTTGGTTGACCACTATATTATGTGTATCAATGCCATATCTAGTAAGCTCCTGAACCAGGCCTCGTCTCATATAGCGACAAAAACTCAGCAATACACACACATACAAATGTTGTTTGGTCCTGAAAACAAGAGGAACAACACTGATCAATAACTTTCAGAGGGGCTATGTAGACTTTGAAAAAATGCATCAAATTGTCATAAAAAAAAAGATGCTAAAAGTGCAAGTTATACTTAATCTATTGAAAACATCCTCAATTATATTCAACAAGACACAAGACTAGACAACTGGATGTGAAATTATTAACTTTCAAGACAAAATGTGAACAACAATAAACTGTCAAAGAAAATATCTTATAAGGATTTTATTATGATAGCACTTAAAGATTTACAGCATAACACAAACAGCTAATGTTTTTTATAACATACTGGGTTTTTGAACTGCTCGTTGACTTTTTGTATAACCGGCAAGATGCTCTCCAGCTTACCCGATACTTCATCAGCATTAAACTCTTGCATTCCAAGAAGCCCAGCTACCTGTAATTATTTTCACAGTACAGTCAACCCTCACTTTACGCGGTCCCACATTCAGCGTTTCTATTTACACGGTGCCCTGCCAGAACCCAGGATGCTCACATTCGCCGGTGGGTGTACCCCTTTACACGGGTGAAGTATAATTTTTTTATTTAGCTCATAAAATTCATACAAATTATTCCTGGTCTTACAAGGAATCCAGCAATGTCAATTATATTATCCTAACTTTAGTCTGATTTATTATTTATTACAAAAAAGGTAAACAGTCTGGTATTCCCACACATTCATCTGGTAGGGAGGGACGGGGGTGGAGGAGGAGGGACCAAGCACTCCACCACCTGGCACCAGGGTGTGAAGAATATTTTTTTATTAACTGAAGATATTTGTTTTAGCTCATAAAATTCATACAAATTACCCGCCAGAATATAATTTACATTGCTGGAATTCTACAATTTGATGATCATTTTGAGTATAAACATCATATATTTTGCATTAGACATACAAATTTTAGATATAATGTTTACTCTGAGTAAATATGTTATTTGTGCAAAATGTATGACATTTATATTCAAAATATTCCTGGTTTTACAAGGAATCCAGCAATGTCAATTATATTATCCTAACTTTAATCTGAGGTATTATTTAAAACAATGTTAAAATCTAATTTTTTTCACCCAACCTTTCTCTTGAGGGGAGGATTGGTGGGGGGTGGGGGGGAGGGTTGGGACGGACCGACCATCTGGCCCGGTTGGAAGAGGGGGGGAGGCAAGGTGGGGTACTTTGATTGACAGATAGTGCCGTGAAGAATATTTTTTTTTTATTAACTGAAGATATTTGTTTTAGCTCATAAAATTCATACAAATTACCCGGCCAGAATATAATTTTATACACAAGGAATTTACAATTTGATGATCATTTTGAATATAAACATCATATATTTTGCATTAAACATACAATTTTTAGATAAAAATTTTTCTCTAGGTAATATGTTATCTTTTGTGCAAAATATATGACATTTATATTCAAAATATTCCTGGTCTTACAAGAATCCAGCAATGTCAATTATATTATCCTAACTTTAGTTTGAGGTATTATTTATTACTATACCTGGTTTTCCCCCAAAAATTTCTCTGAGAGGGAAGAGCCAGTGAGTGTAGTGTGAGAAGAGGGGGAGGGAGTTGAGTCCATTATTTGAATGGACATTAACTTGGCGACTGTATTTCTCTATTTCTCTTAAGTATTAATTGTGTGCATGTACCATCATAAAATTAAGATGTTATTTTTACTACAACATAGTTATGTGTCTTCAAAAAGTGGAGTTTGGGGGTCAGCTGGTCTCTATTTCATTTAATCCCATATGTTATGTTATTCACTTTACGCGTTTCTCACTTTCCACGGTACCCTGTGGGTTACATTAACCGTGTAAAGTGAGGGTTGACTTTACAATATAATTGTTAATGCTTCATTATCTGGCATTTGCCTGACCTAAGTCATGCTATATAAGAAAATATGCTCATTAAGAAAGTGTTTCCCATCAATTTTTTATTAAAAAATTCTTAGACACGGCAGTTTCAAATAATTAAAAATATTGAGAAAACTGTATGAAAACATTTATCAGTTGGTATTCCTCATTTAATGGTGGGGTTGTGTTCCTGAAAAACTTAATGTTAAACAAATTTATTGCTAAATGAGGGAAAATAACAACTCTAAATGGCAATATAATATTAAACTGTAAACTATTTTTTTATTATTTTTTTCATAACTCATCATTCCAAAACATGATGACACAATCTTGGAATGGCATAACATGTGTGACCCACACGGGATGCATGGGTGGTTCTGCTCTGTCAGCCGCTCAGTCACACATCAGTAGGCCTAGTGAGAGGTTACCCACCTGCAGTTACTCTACTTAGTTTCACATAATTTGTGCAAAGTGCTATTCCACCATCATTGCATATTTAACCAGTATACATGTACAGTAGTGTTTCAGTGAATAATAACACTTAAAGTTGGTGCTGTAAGCACCTCTGACACCTACTACATGGCACCACAAGCTTGAATTATCCTCATCCTTCACCTGCAGTGTTGTTAAGTGTTACTTTTTGTGCAAGTTTTATGATTATGGTTCACCAGTACTTCAATATATGCAAGTTCAACTTTTGTGAATTCGATTATCCAGGAAAGTGATTGAGATTTCCGTGCATGGGTGCAATGCTACAGGAGGATAAAAACAATTCCTGTAAAGGTAGGTATTATACTTGCTTAGTTTACCCTCAGGAGTAAGAATAGATATACCGTACATTCAGAATAATAAATCCTGATCATAAATAAAAAAATGTGGAAGGAATTGTATTAGCCATATTCACCAACTTACTTGATTCACAAAAGGACTGATCTGGTTCTTGAGTCTTAAAAGCTTGCCTAGGGACTTTTCAATTACTTGAGGAAATGAGAGTAGACGGAGTGTGTGGCCAGTTGGAGCTGTGTCGAACACCACTACACTAAAGTTCATGCCCTGTACCAGCCTGTAAATTATTGTTAAAATTAATTGATTTTAAAGAATTATAGAAATAATTATATGGGAGAATGAAGATTCAGTAAAAGAGAAATAACATAGACAGATAATGGATCAATTGAATGGAGAGCATGACCAAAAAGAGGTATAGGAGACACAACAGTACAGTACATACATACATACTGTACAGTGCGCAGGCACACACATTGAAAATCAAGTCCCCATCATTATATTACGTCAAATTACTTTATTTAAGGATCAATTACAGGGACTGTCTTGCAGAAAATTTATTAAGGATCATTATGGTATCAAATTCATCTCTATGATCTCTATAACACAATTAGAAAATATGCAGTGAATAAAAGTTTATTCACTTTTTTGCTAGCCGGAAATAAATTTGTTCGCATCTCAAAAATACCTTTCATTTGACGGCCTGTATCATATAAATTTTTGTTAAATATATTTATTTGATCAAACTTTTAAGTAACGTATTCAGGATTATTTTGATAATAAAATGGTGTTTCTAACTAATTAGAACTGATCTTATAGACTCCAGTATCAACATTTTAGGTTTTTTCATAAAAGAATGAGTCCCCAACATTATACCGTGTCAAAATATTTTGTTTAAGGATCTTTTATTGGAATTGTCCTGTCGAGAATTTATTTAGGATCATTGTGGTATCAAATCCATCTCTCTAACACAATTAGAGCAGATGCTGTGAATAAAAATTTATACACATTTAGCTAACGTAAATATTTTTGCCCGTGCTTGCAGTCTAAATATAATGGGAGAGTGTTTCTCCATGTGAGATGAGATGATGAGATGCGTCTTTAGACTCGAGATGAGATGCATAGTTTAGACTCTCTTAGATTCTTGGAAAACTTCCCAGCACCCAGAAACATTCCGGAGATGAGGGCTAGTGTCCGTCTGTGCAAGATGCGTAGTTTACTCTTGGAAACTTTTCCCAAAAAACATAAAAATTCAGGGATGTGGGATTTCTCTAGGTTAGAGAGAGTCGTCTCATTATCAAGAAATCTCTCATCCCCGGAAGAGATCTGCACCAATTGTTCCTGCTAATGGGGATATCACGATGTCACTATATTTGGATGTCTTTGGGTGACTGCCGCTGATGTTGGGAGGTTCATTCCAGGTCACATAAATCACCCAAATGCTGTATAGCATGACTAATGTTTTATTCTTCTATTTACATTTAAAGACATGTTAAATATTAAAACAAGAAAAAACAAACACAGAAAGTACCATTGCACAATTTTATTTTGTCAATGGTGCCCATAATGATGTACTGTACAGTACGTACTTCATTATTATTACATGTATATACTGTATTGTAAACAGTACTGTAGTCACTCACCAATGATGGGGGTTAGGTTCCTGAAAAACCCTGTAGTTAGCAAGACTAAAGGCTTATGGAAAATAGGGGGCTAGGTTCCGTGGTCGCAGATAATACTCGTCAAAGCCTAAGTTGCCTGTTAATTCACTAAACAATACCTGCTTTGTACATTTAATTAAATTTAAGTAAAATACATATAAAATACCTTAATAAAATGTAAATACAGTCATGTGCCGGTTAACATCCGACCGATCAACGTCCGATCACATATACGTCCATGGCCCCCCAAAAAAATCCGTGACGCCTGCTGGACCACCACTCCACGATCCCCTGACGGAGACACGATGATCCTCCCCATACTGGTCAGGTATTATGTGTTAAAGCAATATGCTTTCTTGATTAGGCTTTTTTTAAACATTTGCCTGCAGGTGTAATGTTAACCTACATCTATTGAGGATATAATCTTTCACCCACAAATTGACAATAACACATTTGCTGTAATCAGACAAATCTAGTTGCCTCAACAATTGCAACTCCAGTTGCAATTGGGGTTGCAATTTCAAATTCTGTGTCATTACTACAGAATAAAGAAGTATCTGGTGTACTGCACTCTAAGATTAAGAGAAAACAGACGACTCAGGAGTCCTGAAGTGAGAGAAAACGGACTCCTATGACGGGGCACTCAAATAAAGAGACATGGCTACATGTTTTGTGGACTACCCACTGTAGAGTATTGATGGTATATTTTTCATCACTTTGTAATAAACCTAGTCATGCCTATGTGTGTTTCTGATAATTACCATAACATTATAATTTATATATTTAGCGATTGTACAAACACAAGGCCTCACACATGCCACTCAGACTGACAGACTTGACAAGTTTTACCAACCATAAAGACAGTTGAAGCTTTAACCATCACTCACAATGGATCTTGAATATTCCAACTGTAATCAGACATATGTAAGTTGCCTCAACAATTGCAACCCCAGTTGCAATTTCAAATTCTGTGTCATTACTAAGGAATAAATAAGTCTCTGGTGTACTGCACTCTAAGATTAAGAGAAAAAGGGACGACTCAGGCGTCCTGAAGTGAAAGAAAATGGACTTCTTTGACGGGGCACTCAAATAAAGAGAGACATAGCTACATGTTTTGTGGACTACCCGCTTTATATTATCCTTTTCATCACTTTGTAATAAACCTAGCCATGCCTATGTGTGTTTATGATATTTACCATAACATTATGTAATGATTGATTGTCAGACCAAAGCTTACAGCCCGGAATAATGTCACATATAACAGCAAGTACACTACAGACCTCGTGGTACCACCACATTCCGGGTTGACACACCTCAGGTCGACCCTAGGGACTTGACCTCGCCAGCTAATGACGTGAGTTAGCCGGGTGACCTACAACCTCACCTAACCAAGACACCTGGGCAGGACCACACCTGCACACAGCTATCCAGATCTAACCAGTTTAGTGATAATTGGTTAGAGGGCAGAAGCCGGCTGGGCCGACCCCATATGAAGGCCCTACAGTCCCGTCCACGGGCATTATCATTCTGATTATCATTCTGATTCTGGTTGCAATTCGAACATTCGAACATTACTCTGGAGATTGACAGAGTCACGCTTGTCCTCTCCCCAGGTCGGGAGGGGGACTTCCGGACCACACCCCAGCTAAGCAGAAGCCTCCCATAGGAGGCAGCCCAGCCAAGCATCCACTGGGCCTACGTCAGGGTACACGTGAGTCTTGTCAGAACGATTCCTAGGGTGAGTTACCTACTGTGGGAAGTGTATTCATTCAGGTGTGTCCAAGAGTCAGTGTCGAGTAACGTAAAACATAATGTGTTAGTACCCCGATATAATAGTGATATTAATGTGTCCATGTCATTGAGTGAATTAATAAATAGTTGTATCGAGGAGGTGTTTAACAAGTTGTCCCTTTAAGAAGTGATATATGTGTATTGACATACGAGATAAGATAAGCGTATTGATGCTGAGTAAACAACATCCCGGCCACGCTACCAAGTTTCCTATCTTTACATTCCTACTCTCTATACTTCCTACTTATATGTAATCTTCTTCTCTCATTGTGTAGTGTCCCATTATATTGGTGGCAGCAAACTATGACGTTAATCCACGCCCTCCTCGTCCCTTGTTATTGGTAACAGTGTACTTAAAGTAAACCCGTGCCCTCCCCCATTAGCCATAACACCTGGCTCATTAGTTCAAAAGTGCGTGATAAGGAGTTCCTGCATAGTAGCGTGAAAAGTGTCCTAGTGTGTCACCGTTACAGCTCAAGTAAATGTCTCTCGTCGTGGTATGCGCGATTTTTTACTAGCAATTTGTTCAGTGCTTGACATGATTTCGCCCCCCATATTTATGGAGGAATACGTAGACCACAAAGGGATAAAGAAGTCACACTAATCTGGGGATACAGCACAGTACTTGAAATGCAATGCCGTGGTTGGTGAAATGGTATTGAGTAAAAACCGTGGATACCCGGAATCCACTGTTTGTGAGGGAATAATGTACAGTACATAAATTTCATACATGCATACCATAAAGTATAATACAGTATTACCCCGCCTAACGCGGTTTCACTTAACGCGTTTTATCATATACGCGGTGCCTCGCCAGAGCTGAACTTTCACTTAACACGGATTTTTTCCACATATACACGGTGAGTGTCCGGCTCGAGACGCTATTTTTAGATTTGCGCCACCCCCCACCCTGCCTGACTGCCTGTTTTAGCTCATAAAATTCATACAAATTACCCGGCCAGAATATAATTTACATTGCTGGAATTCTTATAATTTGGTGATCATTTTGAATATAAACATCATATATTTTGCATTAGACATACAAATTTTAGATAACATTTTTTCTCTGGGTAACTATGTTATCTTTTGTGCAAAATATATGACATTTATATTCAAAATATTCCTGGTCTTACAAGGAATCCAGCAATGTCAATTATATTATCCTAACTTTAGTTTGAGGTATTATTTATTACAAAAAAGTTAAGTATTCTGGTTTTCCCACACATCTCCTTGGGACGGTTGGTGGGGGGTGGGGGGGAGGGAGGGACCGACCGACCGACCATCTGTTACCCGTGAAGAATATTTTTTTTTTTTTATTAACTGAAGATATTTGTTTTAGCTCATAAAATTCATACAAATTACCCGGTCAGAATATAATTTACATTGCTGGAATTCTTATAATTTGATGATCATTTTGAATATAAACATCATATATTTTGCATTAAACATACAAATTTTAGATAAAAATTTTTTTCTGAGTAACTATGTTATCTTTTGTGCAAAATATATGACATTTATATTCAAAATATTCCTGGTCTTACAAGGAATCCAGCAATGTCAATTATATTATCCTAACTTTAATCTGAGGTATTATTTAATACAAAATGTTAAAAGCTAAATTTTTCACCCACTCTTCTCTTGAAGGGATGATTGGTGGGGGGTGGGGGGGAGGGTTGGGACTGACCGCGCGGTTGGAAGAGGGGGGGGGAGGCAAGGTGGGGTACTTTGATTGACAGATAGTGTCGTGAAGATTATTTTTTTTTTATTAACTGAAGATATTTGTTTTAGCTCATAAAATTCATACAAATTACCCGGCCAGAATATAATTTACATTGCTGGAATTCTTATAATTTGGTGATCATTTTGAATATAAACATCATATATTTTGCATTAGACATACAAATTTTAGATAAAAATTTTTTCTGAGTAACTATGTTATCTTTTGTGCAAAATATATGACATTTATATTCAAAATATTCCTGGTCTTACAAGGAATCCAGCAATGTCAATTATATTATCCTAACTTTAGTTTGAGGTATTATTTATTAAAATTTAGTGGTTTTCCCCCAAAAATTTCTCAGAGAGGGAAGAGCCAGTGTAGTGTGAGAAGAGGGGGAGGGAGTTGAGTCCATTATTTGAATGGACATTAACTTGGCGACTGTATTTCTCTATTTCTCTTAAGTATTAATTGTGTGCATGTACCATCATAAAATTAAGATGTTATTTTTACTACAACATAGTTATGTGTCTTCAAAAAGTGGAGTTTGGGGGTCGGGCCGGTTTCTATTGGAATTAATCCCATATGTTCTGTTGTTCACTTAACGCGGATTTCACTTAACACGGGACCCTCTGGGTTCTATTGACCGCGTTAAGTGGGGTACAACTGTATATGTAAATTCTTAAATTAATAAAGGGTATTCACTAAATTCTTATTCCATTTGTTTACATCGTCACCTCAATGTAAAAAGATTCAGATTAATATCTTGTGTTTTTGAATGACTGCAAAACATCACTCACTGCAAAAAATATCCCAAGGTCAAAAAGAGTGCAAACTTACTTCATTACTTCAGCATAGCTCATGGCTTCATCAATACCTGGGAAGGCTCCAAGAACTTCTTGCATAATATCCCGGCCCATGCGCATGGCGTCTGTTGCCCCCTCAAAGTACTCATCTGGAAGTTCTCCATAACCTATGTTTGGGTCTATTTCCTGCAATATAGAAATGTTTGAACAATGTTATCCCTAAAGATAGGCAAATCCTCCACCTGCCCTCTATGTCACAGCAGAGTCAAAAGGGCCATAATTCTAGACATTAATAACAGATAAGACTGTTTATTGAATTCTATAGTAGTCCTATTTTGATATACCCTGAACCTGTATTTATAACTAAACGTGTTAATATCCTATACTTTCTGCTTAAACTATTGTGTTTACAACTTCCAAAAGCACAGACAAAAAGGATGCATTCCAGATCCCAATTCCAACATGGCAGGGAGCAGTCATACTGTATATACTCGAGTATAGTTCAAATTTTTATGATCAAATTTTTATGAAAAAATATGGAGGCTGAACTATACATGTGTAATATTTTTGAGGGGTTGCTGAACCTGAAGTTGTTGATGAAGCTGCTTATTCTGCTGAATTTGATGGTGTAGCTGAAGTTGATGGTTTAGGCCTTCGAATGATAAAGCTGTCGAAAGAACCTTGCACAGCTGATTTCTTTTCTCATTATACATCTTTATGCAGAGGTCATTTGCATTTTTCAAGTCCCTGTTAACTTTAATGCTTTGTTCTGTTAATGGATCCATTCAGAAAATTGCTTGCCCCATAAAATATCCACAGACCTCTCACCCTTTTCATATCGTTTCAACACATCTAGTTTCTCGGCTAAGCTTATATACTTTCTTTTAGCTTTTGAACCACCACTACCATCACTTGCTCTCTTGCTCATGTTTAATAGGGACGCAAAAATGCCGTAAGAAACCTGAAAGTTTTTCTCCTTTTCCTGTTCAGCTGTATGAAAACAAGGGGCCCGCTAAGCTGCGACTGTTTATACTAGTGGTACTGGCATCACCACTCACAAGCCTAGCAGCCTCCGTGCACAAGGCGTGGTTTTTTTTTGTATAATATATATCGGGATTTAGTTATTATTTATGTGATTTTTTTTCGTTCTAAATACAAAGAAAATAATGGTGCAAATTAAATTGGGTCCAAAATTAACCAGGGTCTTAAATATGAATCGTCGTTAGTAGAACCGTCGTTATCGGAGGCTTTCCTGTATACTACTGTATGGTATCTATTTTATTTAAATGTTAAGCTAAGAAAGGGTATAGAAGTGATATAGTCCACCAAGGCAGAAGTATGCAGCATATGAGATGTGGGTGTCACAATGGTGGAATCTGTGCACATGTAAAGACAACTGTGTTTTGACATGTTTTCCATTTGTACTATTTGGAGAGGAACCCTATAATATAAAAGCACAGGTCTGATTTAAGTTAAATTCTGTTCTGCACTTGCAAGACAAGGACTCACATGTTGTACTAATGTAGTGAACTTGAAGAATGCCTTAGTTTGTGCATGGTACACTTATTTTTCAGATGTTGGTGTCTTTATGACATACGTAGGGCTATAAATATTATTTATTATTAACACCCCTGATAATGTGCATGTAGACAATTAAATATGAAACATCAGGATTAATAGATTGTGGATGAGTTCTTAACCTACTCCATAACCTAACTACTAATATAAGTGTAGCAATAGATATTTACACAGTACAGTACGTACAGCACAGTATAAATCTACCAGTTTTCTTGTAATAGTAGGAAACTGACAATCATAGTGTAGAAAAAGGTAAAATAGATGTGGATACTGAAGTGGGAGGTATCATCATGCTGTGTGGTGTGAGTGAGGCATGGGCTGGTATTCACATACAGTACTTTGTCCGAACCACGATGAATGAGTCATACAGACACCAAACTTGGTGTTAGTCAATTAGAGTACGGACAAGTCATCTGGTCATCTTGGAGGTGAGCTTAGAATTAACTTTTGAAATTTAGAGTGTGAATGTTGTCCACATAACAAAGAAGACTGGATCCAATAACATTTTATTGGTTTATCCCAATATTACCTAAAACCATATACCTGTATAAAATATCAGCATTCACAGACTGAGGACACATTATAAAACACGACAGTATGTCGGTGCACCTTTCCCTTACCCATTGAAGAGAACCCCTACCCCTCCTCTCCTAACAACGCAACACCTTGCCACATTGCCCCCATCTAGCAGAGAACAAGTAGGAGCCAATAACATTCTATTTTGTAACCTGTATTAAAACTATAACTATGCTTGCATTCAAAGACAGAAGAGAAATGCTTAACAGTATTTAGCCTTCTTAGTCTGGCTACTAGTGTGAGGTTCCTTCGAGTCATTCCAGGAGTTTTACTATGGTGTATACAAACACAGAGTGCCACATCCCACAAAATGTGCCAACCACTGTAACAGTACCTATTTATTACAATACTGAGCATTGCTAATACAATGTAAGTGCACAAGAGCTAGGTCATAGCTCTTGTGTCAGGACAGAGACTATATTTCTGGAATTTTAGTCCAGTCACACATATCAGAAATCCTGGCTACCCTGGTTATCAAACCATTTTGCAGACATGACTTAATCTATTATTACCAAATTTATAAAATAAGAATTCCAATAAAATTCAAAATCTTACCATTGCATATAAATTTTCAAATCCTTTGACTTTCATTGGAACCTTTGAGAATTTCTGGTCAAAGGCATCAGAAATATTGTGTGCTGGATCCGTAGAGATGATAAGGACCGACTCTCGGGTTCTAGAGAGTTGCACGGCCAAACTACAGCTGTAATAATTGAGAACGACACATTACATACATTGCTGATACAGTAAAAAAAAAAATTTGGCAAGTATAACAACTGATTGTAATCAACCCCCCCCCCCATGAGGAAAGCCTAAAACTGATTAGTATGTTCAAAAGCAGTCTTTACTGTACCGTACTTCTGTAGCAACAAATAACCACAAAAACCTATCCTTATTTTTTTCTAAGAAAATTATGGTAAATGATAAGACCGACCAGGAATCAAGCAGTAATACTACATGGGTTAAATTATTGTATATAGTACACTGTACAGTACAGAGGGCCCCCTAAATTCGCCGATTTTTATTTCGCAATCCTCTATTATTTGCGGATGACACCATGGATGTACTCAAGAATGTCTGTGGGTAGTTTTAAAGTTGCCGGCATTTTTGCGGCTGGGAATTGAATTTAATTTAATTGAAACAGTTTATTAAGCCATTCATTCTAGGGACAGTAATTTCTTTTACAGTAGAAGTCAAAAAATCCGGACTGCTTGGGGATTGGGTCGGTCCGGATTTTCGGATTTTCCGGATTCTCAGGCAGTACTTTTAAAATTCAAATTTAAGGAAGAATAAAGAAGAGATGAACAGGTACATTTTGATAGTTTATTCATTAGCAAATACAGCATGCTTCATTTATCAAAATGAGCAGTTTTAATGAAAAAGCTGTGAATTCTAGAATTTTATTCTTTGCCTTTTATATATCATAAATTGTAGACTTTCCAATGTCGTATGTTTCCATTAGAACAGTATTGCTCACACCACGTTCTAGTTTGTTAATTATTTCAAGTTTGTCACTCAATTTCAACGTGTTTTTCTTTCTCTTCACACAACGAAGTTTATCTACTTTAGGAGCCATTATTATGGGCTTGTACAGTACTCTGTAAATGGAAAGAGTAGGACTCAAAATATTGTTATATTACAATGGTATTCTATTCATACTGTGCTTGATATAATGCATTCACGGAAATGTAATATTTTTGCTGAACGTACGTATTACAGTGGAAAGTGGGATAAAATCGTGACGAAAACAATGACTTTCGCTTTCTTTCGTTCAAAAGATGTTACCGTAATCGCTTTTCGAATGGTTTTCAGTTCAAAAACTGTTGTATTCCAATAATATTCTATCCTAATTGACTTGAATAAATATTACGATACCATATTTCTGAATATTTTCATTAAAATCCATCAAAATCACTTTCCTTGTCATCGTCTGCAGCACCAAACAGCTTCTCCCAGTCCTCTCTTTGAACAGGGCTTGAGGGTACATGTTTTTCGAATCGTTTTCAGTTAAAAAACTATTACATCACACGTATATTTTACCTAAACTGCGCCTGAATGAATATATTCTCGGAAATAAATAGTAGTTTTGCGGAAACGTGACGTATTTCAATGTAAAATAGGATAAAATACATGACGAAAACAAAAGACTTTACCTAAGCTTTCGATGTTCTTGAGATGTTACTCGTTTTTTAATAGTTTTCGGTTAAAATTCTGTTATATTACAATGATATTCTATTCATACTGTGCTTGATATAATACATTCACGGAAATGTAATATTTTTCCTGAAATTACGTACGTATTACAATGGAAAGTGGGATAAAATTGTGACGAAAACAATGACTTTCGCTTTCTTTCGTTCAAAAGATGTTACCGTAATCGCTTTTCGAATGGTTTAGTTAAAAAACTGTTGTATTTCAATAATATTCCCTCCTAATTGACTTGAATAAATACTTGAATGGAAATATACAATATTTTTGTTGAAACTACCCGCGTTTCAGTGTAAAGTGTCGTAATAATAAATGGTAAACAATTTGCCTTCGGCACTCGTGTTACATGCACGGCTAGCCTCAGTTTATAGGACGTAGAGCGTTTTTACTGAAGGTTTTGTTGTTCAATTACCCTCAAAAACGTGGGTCGAACTATAAACGAGGAATATCATAAATTAACGATTTCTTGGTAAAAAAATCAGGGTCGACTGATAACAAGGGGGGTTATAGACGAGAATATACGGTATGTTGTCACAGTTTGATTGCTCGTTTTAAAGTGGCGACCACGTGGTCGCTTGTTGTCGCTGTGCAGCTGTGGCGCTCACGCATGCGCACATACACACAAAAGCCCGCTAAAAAAAAAAAAATAGTTTTTGAAAAGTCCGGATTCTCGGGTGGTCCGGATTTCTGGCATCCGGATTTTTGGACTTTTACTGTACCAGTATTGTAAATACGTGTGTGTGTGTGCAGACACACACACACACACAAATAAATAATATTGGGAAAATTCGCTCACAAATAATCAGAAACAAATTTATTAAAAATGTGAGTCTACCCTCAAGTCTGTGCTTTATCAATAAAGCATGGACTTGAGGGTAGACTGTCACATTTTAATAAATTTGTTTCTGATTATTTGTGGAAGTATTTTCCCATTATTATTTATTTGTATGTGTTTTGTGTGTGTGTCTACACACACACACACACACACACATATATATATAATACAGGTAAAAGAAATGATTGTCCTAAGGGCAAACACAAAGGGAATACAGCCAACCCTCACTTTACGCGGTCCCACATTCCGCGTTTCTACGTTTACGGTGCCCTGCCAGAACCCAGGATGCTCACATTCCGCGGTGGGTGTACCCCTTTACACGGGTGAAGTATAATTTTTTTATTTAGCTCATAAAATTCATACAAATTATCCGGCCAGAATATAATTTACATTGCTGGAATTCTTACAATTTGATGATCATTTTGAATATAAACATCATAGATTTTGCATTAGACATACAAATTTTAGATATAATGTTTACTCTTGAGTAAATATGTTATCTTTTGTGCAAAATATATGATATTTATATTCAAAATATTCCTGGTCTTACAAGGAATCCAGCAATGTCAATTATATTATCCTAACTTTAGTCTGATTTATTATTTATTACTAAAAAGGTAAACAGTCTGGTATTCCCACACATTTATCTAGTAGGGACGTTGGTGGGGGGTGGGGGGGAGGGAGGGAGGGACCGGCGACCGACCATCTGTTACCGTGTGAAGAATATTTTTTTTTTTATTAACTGAAGATTTTTATTTTAGCTCATAAAATTCATACAAATTACCCGGCCAGAATATAATTTACATTGCTGGAATTCTTACAATTTGATGATCATTTTGAATATAAACATCATATATTTTGCATTAGACATAAAATTTTTAGATATAATGTTCACTCTGAGTAAATATGTTATCTTTTGTGCAAAATATATGACATTTATATTCAAAATATTCCTGGTCTTACAAGGAATCCAGCAATGTCAATTATATTATCCTAACTTTAGTTTGAGGTATTATTTATTACTATACCTGGTTTTCCCCCCAAAATTTCTCAGAGGGAAGAGCCAGCAGTGTAGTGTGAGAAGAGGGGGAGGGAGTCGTGTCCATTATTTGAATGGACATTAACTTGGCGACTGTATTTCTCTATTTCTCTTAAGTATTAATTGTGTGCATGTACCATCATAAAATTAAGATGTTATTTTTACTAGAACATAGGTATTGTGTTGGAAAAAGTGGAGTTTGGGGGTCAGCTGGTCTCTATTTCATTTAATCCCATATGTTATGTTATTCACTTTACGCGTTTCTCACTTTCCGCGGTACCCTGTGGGTTACATTAACCGCGTAAAGTGAGGGTTGACTGTATACATTACAAGTAAAAATGTTATTCGCGGCCATTTTGAGAACCTAACCCCCGCAAATTTGGGGGGCCCCCTGTACATCATGTTCATGGGCTCCAGCACCACTGACAATGATGGCTGTCACTAATAAGTAATAACATCTCTCCTGTTAGGTCAGTTTGGTTTGGTCTGTGTCAAATGTAACTGTAAGTGTTGACACACCTGCAAAAAATTAACCTTGATGTTCAAGTTCCAGGTTTCAGCTCACTTTTATTGTTTCTTCACTAGATATACATTAAATGAATTAAAACAAACATACTGTACTGATAAAAATTACATAAAAAATTGCAAGAAATCAAATTGTGGATCTAGCAGAATATTTAACAGTAGCTTTACAGTATAAGTACTGTACATGTAAGGATCACCAACTAAACGAAACATAACTTAGGCCTAATGTCTTAGGATTTTGGGGGAGGTTTGTGTAGATTTAGTTCAGTCAAACTTGCCTCGTTTGTATTATAGTATTTGCACTCACAAATAATCAGACATACAGTACATTACAAACTAAGCAACTTCCATTGCCCTGCTCAGCTGAGATAGTGTGTTTCTTTCATTAAGCCTAAAAAAGGATACAGTACATCTATGCTTCACTAGTTCCACTTACCCGGTACCCTTTTTAATTACTGTACAATCATCAAAATTTTTATACATGGTATATACAGTATCTGGAGTGAGATGAAAAAGAAAATAATTTTAATTAAAAATGAAGGCTCTTACAGTTGAGACAAAGTGGCAAGTACGGCATTTGGCTATGGATAGGGATGCACCGGAACACAAATTTCAAGTTCCAGCAGGAATCAAAAGCTGGAACTGGTTATTTTTAGCCAACACCTGTTATTTCTCACAATACAGTACAGTATACACGGACTGAGCGGATTAGTTGTAAACAAACAAAGAGCAGATGACAACACGCGCCAACACGGTGGATTCTTCGGGAATATTTATGGTAAATTATGAATTTTTTTGCGTACAATGTATGTAAAGACATCATTTTTAGTGTCATATTATTAGTGTTTCACTGTGCTTTACAATGCAATAACCCTCATCCTTCATACCCTGCCCACTACCAGTAATTTATGATCAGAGAGAAAAACTAAAAAATATATACTGTATATATAAAAATACTTATAATTAAAATAAAAAGTTGTTGTATCGTTTTTATTACTTACTATCATCCAATGAACATCTGTGGAAAAAATGAATGAAATCGAACAACTCCTTCTGGTGTCAGCCATCTGCTCCAGTATTACCAGAAATTTTCTCAAGTTGGTGCTAAGGGTGAGCCACAGTCATCAAGTATTACATAAGCAAGCATTTATGTTCTATGGTTAAATCATATAAAAGTGCACAATTGGACTGGACTATAACTTCGTTAAAGAATCATGACATAATATGGTGACCCCTCTTCTTCATTTTTATATTTTTTGAGATTTTCAGTTTAGAAAATTAATATTTTTCCGTATTAACACCCAACTCACATACAATAATACTAATGGCCCTACCACTTACCTTATACAATTCTAAGCAACTTTGCTTCTATAAACATACGTCAGAAATTACTCGCCGAAATGTTGATTTTTTTAAGTAATTAATTTGGTCACAAAGCGTGGGTGGCCAGAGCGTGTGCGTTTTTTTTTAAGGGGAATAGCACACCCGGGCACAGGTCATCAACCCACAACAGGGCCTAGGGGGCGAAAAATTAAGAGTAAAAATAAAGAAATTATAAATACAAAAGAAAAAGATTATATTAATCTAAGCCACGAAGATACCGGAAAACCAGCTTTTTGAAGTGAGACAGATTGTATGAGTATGGAAACACAGAAGAAGGCAGAGCATTCCACAGTTTGGCTGTGTGAGGAAAGAAGGATGTACTATAACGGGTTATTCTAGTGTGACCGACATCCACAGAGAAACGGTAGGCACAGCGGGTAAGTAGAGTGTTACGAGTCCACAGTCTTGCCGGCAGTACACAGGATGCCAAATCCACCGAACATTGCCCGTTAAAGTACCTGTAAAAGAAAGAGAGTGAAGCAACATTGCGGCGAAGAGAAAGGGAAGAAAGATTATCAACTAAAGGGTGCAGTGTGGAAGGGGTCCGACTAATTACCCAAATGTACCCGAATGTAGCCGCAATGAAATCAAATAATGGTCCTACATGAATAAATCGGACTGCCAATCACTTTTCGACTAGTATTTGGTGTCAAAGTAAAAAAACATTGGAAAACTTAATTTAATCGGAGTTAATAGATCGCGTGCATGTACCGAGGGAGCGAGTAATTACCCAAATGAACCCGCAATGAAGTCAAATGATGGTCCTACAAGAATAAATCGGACTGCCAATCACTTCTAGACTAGTATTTGGTGTCACAAGTCACAAAAAATTGGTAAACTTAATTTAATCTTAGTTAATAGATCGAGTGCATGTACCTAACCTAACCTAACTTCGACTAGTATTTGGTGTCACGAAGTCACAAAAAATTGGTAAACTTAATTTAATCTTAGTTAATAGATCGAGTGCATGTACCTAACCTAACACAACTCAGATTAAATTAAGTTTACCAATTTTTTGTGACTTTATGACACCAAATAATAATTGAGAAGTGATTCACAGCCCGATTTACGCTTGTAGGACCATCATTTGACTTCATTGCGACTACATTTGGGTACATTTGGGTTCATTTGGGTAATTACTCGCTCCCTCGGTACAAGCATGCGATCTATTAACTCGGTTTAAATTTAGTTTTCCAATTATTTGTGACTTTGTGACACCAAATACTAGTCGAGGAGTGGTTGGCAGTCAGATTTATTCATGTAGGACCATTATTTGACTTCATTGCAGCTACATTTGGGTATATTTGGGTAATTAGTCGGACCGGTGTGGAAGAGCTGCATCGAATGAATTAAGATTATTAAAAATCAGCAAATCATCTTCTTCCTTGAGGCGACAGTCCGGCAGATTTGATTTTGAAAAGTCAGTCCTTGACCAGCCATGTCTGTGTGTGCACGATGCAACTGGAACTATTTTGCTGCCATTTCCGAGTTCTATGAGAATAACGACATGGCTTTAGACTTTCTTCGTGAGCACTGTGATTTGCCTGGGTCTCTTCTAAAGTGCCCAACACATAATAAAGCCCTTATTTATCGAAATATTGAATTTTTAAAGCAATTATTTTGGAAGGCGACAGAGTGCAATAGCAAACTATCCCTGCCTTTGAAGCAGTGCCGGATTAACCATGAGGCACTTGAGCCACTGGCCTCAGGCCCCCCGACTCTAAGGGGCACCCAAATCACGAAGTTGAAGCGTATAAAACATGAACTTCGTTCAAAGATGTCCTAGCAACGTCTCAATTTTCTGTCTCTTATGAACATTAAATGTGTTACTTTGCAGAAGCTTAATAATGATGAAATCATTGATAAATTTGGGTATATTTTGTTCTTGTTATTCATATATACCTTGAGGGTAGGAGGCCCCAAGTTGATCTGTGCCTCAGGCCCCTATTTAGCTTAATCCGGCCCTGCTCTGAAGACGAACATGATCCATAACCACAGCCCAGGCCTTCATCAGAGCAAATAGTAAACAGAACAATGGTTAATTCTCGATTAGGTTAAGTTATGGGGTCATAACTAGGAAACGAGTGATTTCTGACAGAAATGGATGTTAGACCCAAATAAATCACACTAAAAACCTTAGGAAAAAGAAAATTATAAGCTTCAAAATGAGATGGGTGTTAATCAGGGAATTAACCAGAATAACCGGCCAGTCAACTTATGGCAGGAGGAATGTGCTTTCAACCGTATCCATTTGATGAATACAAGCTGTTAATTCTGTTTACAGCACCATATTTTCCAGTATAAAAGTTGAGAAAAAATTTATACGATATCTATCACTAAACTCAATAGGCAAATATTTATCATACCGCCTGTGTAAGAAGAAAATTTTAATAATAATCTTACCTAGACGTGGTTTTCCCAACTCCACCTTTTCCTCCTACGAACACCCATTTTAGTGTAGTCTGATCAACGATGTTTTTGAGAGATGGTTCTAGAGGCTCCAGGTCAGAAACATCCAAATCGGCCGTTTCTTCAGCCATGTCTGGTAAGAAATGTAACAAAACCAACAATATTGGGAGTACGAGTGTTCCCCGTGTCCATATGATGAGGTCAACTAGGAAGTACGAGCCCAAGAATATTTATATTTACTTTCAGAAAGTCTTGGAATATTGATATTACTTAAATAATGTGTACAATGAGTAATATATATATATATAAAGTGACCGTAAAATTAATAAATGATTACCAAATTAAACAATGAAACCAAACTGTAAATTTTAAGTTAGGTTAAAAATATAAGGGTTAAGGCCAGGTATCCAATTGTCCGTGATCCGTGGTCCGTCTCTGTACGTATCCGTGTCTTTTCTTTTATCCTCTTCACCACTGATCGACTCGTTAGCCGCATGGGCGATCGGTTACGTCTCTGATTGCTTTTCCTTATCCTCTTCACCAAAAGATCGGCTCGTTAGCCGCTTGACCGATCGGTCACGTCTCTGTTACGCACTTTTGGTAAATACTGGGCATGTACCGGCTCCTGCATGTACCTGAACCCGCTCCAGTGTTGGTCAAGTCTGGTCTTGAAAGAGCTCACACTCGGTGCCGTCACAACACTTTCTTGTAGATTGTTCCAAGAGTTCACAACTCTCACCCAGAAAAAGTTTGCCATCACAGTTTTCTGGACTTGAGGCTTCTTCAATCTTGAGCTGTGACCCCTTGTGGGGCGAGCGTCCACCAGCTCCAAGTAAGGACACTCGACTGAGTAGTGCCCCTTGAGATGTTTATACACCTCAATTAGGTTGTAGTGGATTTCTCCCCTACAAACGCTGTTTGTCGCTGAGTAGCCGACCCCACGAATTCCCCAGTGTATGCCTCGTGGTCTAGGTCAACCAGCGCCGCCCACGGAGCGGGGGTCAACTACTAAGCCACGCCAACCCCCGCTATTTAAGACCTGACCTCGTGGTGATCGCTCTCTTTCTACCTCCACCAACCAGCCAGCAACACCTCCTCCTCCTCTGCCTGCCTGGCGGTCCTCGCTCCGGCCGGCGAGCATGGCGACCCACAAGCTGTCCTCCTCTGAGCACCCTCACCAACCAGCTCTCTCTACATCACGCTTGTAACCATGCTGCCTTCCCAGCACCAAGCTGCATTGTACATCCAATACAACATGTATACAGAGAGCACATTGTGAGTTTCCTTTCTCCATTCCATCCTGAGTGAGAACCAAAACCACTCATACCCCACAAATGGTGACCCCCGCAGATTCGCACTCACACAGGATGGAGGAGAAACAGATCACTCTCCCAGTCTTCAAGCAATATGGAAGACTGGCTTATCCACCCAGAGGCAGCTCTCATCGGCTCTACAGCTACTGTCTCGAAACCGCAGGTTAGACACCCTAGAGCAGCTCTGCTACTCTAAGCAGACAGCCGCTCCTATTCCTGCCCCAAGCACCACGTCCTACCGACCCCAACACACCCGTCCTGCCTCAGACGCCGCCCTGGCCCAGCAGTACCCCCTGCCGCTTCTCCTGACGCGGCCCCTGCTCCTGAGTGCGGACCCACACACCCCTCTTTTCTCCCTCAGGTACTCCCTGCTAATGTCCTGCACCCTGCTGCTGTCGTGGACCCAGCTGCTGTCACGAGCCCTCATCCGCTTCTGCTGACGCAGCCTCTGCTCCTGACCCAGGCCCACACACCCCAGCAGGCACATCTGACGACTCTGTACCTGCCGTGAGGGAAGCACAACATTCATCGCCTCCACACACCCTTTTTCTCCCTCTCTACTCCCACAGATGTTGTGTATCTAGACAGTTGTCTCTAGTGGCCGGCTCATCCACGCCATCGCCGTTGTCTCACATGAGGCATGCACCGCCTGTTCTGCCTCACAGGTACCATGCAACCGTGCAGACAACAAGTCTCCTACACCGCCTGGAGGGAAGGAGGGAGTATTGTAGTGGATTTCTCCCCTACAAACGCTGTTTGTCGCTGTGTAGCCGACCCCACGAATTCCCAGTGCATGCCTCGTGGTCTAGGTAAACCAGCGCCGCCCACGGAGCGGGGGTCGACTACTAAGCCACGCCAACCCCCACTAATTAAGACCTGACCTCGTGGTGATCGCTCTCTTTCTACCTACACCAACCAGCCAGCAACACCTCCTCCTCCTCCGCCTGCCTGGCGGTTCTCGCTCCCGCTGGCGAGCATGGGGACCCACAAGCGGTCTTCCTCTGAGCACCCACACCAAACCAGCTCTCTCTACATCACGCTTGTAACCACGCTGCCACTTCCCAGCACCAAGCTGCATTGTACACCCAATACAACATGTATACAGAGAGCACATTGTGAGTTTCCTTTCTCCATCCCATCCTGAGTGAACACCAAACATCCCATACCTCCACAAGGTCACCCCTTGCCCGTCTGTAGCATAAGCTAGGCAAGTTCAGGTGCTCCAATCTCTCAGGGTCGCTGAGGTGCCAAAGTGCAGGCACCAGTCTGGTGGCCCTCCTTTGAACATTTTCAACCAACTGACAGTCCCTAGCATATCTCAGGGACCAGACTGGGTGACAGTACTCCAGATGGGGAAGCACTTCACTCTTGAAGATCGTTATGAGGGACGGACCGTCTAGATATTTGAACGACCTTCTTATAAGACCCAATAATTCATTTGCCTGATTTACCTTCTTCTCGCAAAGGCCCGAGAACTTCAGCTCATTGTCAACATACACACCTAGGTCGTTCTCACGTTCAGTCTCAAATAGTGCAGTTTCTTCATCCCGCTGAGACATATTATACGCCTCCTTACCGTTGGTACGCCCCAGGTGCATCCTCTTACGCTTCGTGACATTGTGTATTGTGCACATCATAGTCATTCCTAAAAATCCCCTTTAATTCATATTATGCTACATAACATTCAAATCCACTGCGCTTGTAGAATCTCAGAAAACGGGAAACATTGATAAAGTATAACTCACCTAATAAATGTTACGGAATTGTTTGAATGATAATAATATAATAATAATAAACGGTTTATTGAAAAAGTTTGCAGCCCGAAGGCTGAAAATATACATTGGACATAAATGACTTATTACATACATTGGTGGTTTAACGAAAGCCTTCATTAGAGAAAGGTGAAGGAACATACAGATTAATGATTACACACGTAGATCATGTGAGCAGAGGTGTTGAACAGCAGACACGTAGTGTAGTAACTCCCTCACAGATGGCGTTATGAGGGGCATCACGTGGAGTACTAGTTCCCTCACAGGTGGTGTTATGAGGGGCTTGACGTGGTGTAGTAATTCTCTCACAGATGGTGTTACGAGGGGCCTGATGATGTAGTAATTCCCTTACAGATGGTGTTATGAGGGGCCTGATGTGGTGTAGTTGTCATGGTCACGTTGACTGCTGATCTATTTAACTAATGATTCTTATTAAACTCCACGCCTGCAAAACATGAGTGAGTTAGCGACCCCTGAGAAGACGTGTTTTTTCCCCATACACGCTACACTTGTGTGTCCTCCCAGAGTCCCGCCTTTGTGAAGACAGTTGTCAATGCGTTGTTATTCCACTTTCTCCTCGGAAGCTCAATCTTGAATTAGTCTGTGTAAATCAACTCAAGTAATTCGCCAGACCTTTGTCAACTGAGGGTCATCTTTGAATGAGTAACAGTTAGTTTGTTTGTAATTATTGTCATTGCGTGAGTAGCGATCAATGGCAACTCAGAGGTATATATACTCAAGACGAGCCAAGGAAAGCGTTCCCTGACGCTGCTTCCAATGTTTCTCCAGGTATGTTTTGTGTAGCCATTCAGTTAATTCAGTCAATTGTAGTGAATATCAGTGTTCACCAGTGTTCATGATTTAACAGTTGAATTGTCCTTCACCCAGTGTAGAAGTAATATAACGTAAATACGTCTGTCGTCTAGACAAGAGAGTTTGTTTGTGTTGTCATGTTTCCCAGCTCCTTGACGCTGCTTCCAATGTTTCTCCAGATCCCATTGTGATTCTTGCAACCATTCAACAACGGCCTCGGATGTAGTAGATGACCAACAGGGATCATATACGTAACGATGGCACCGATGCGGCCTGATTAATGTGCTCCACGGCTTTGTTGGGCCAGACCCCAGACCCGCCATGTGTCTGGCTACCCCACAATAACAACAGTCGTGAGCCCCAGTGTTCTACCCTGGGTTACTCCCTGGAAGTGTATGTCCACAGAGAGGGTTGTGACATGTATGTTAGGGATAATTAGATGGAAATAATTATCCCATGTTGGGTAGTGGACCCCTGTATATGCTAGTTTAATTATTTAAGAGTAAGAATGTAGGAACTGAGTCTGCAATAAGCCCAGGAGTTGAGCCTGGTAGTTATATGATTAATACTTTATCTTTCCCCATTGATTGTATATTAATAAACTTGTTTTTAGAGTACTTTAGGTGTATTCCTTTCTCCCACAGTATTTTACCTTTATTTCCATCCAAGTGACTTGATACCAGAATTATCATACCCATGTGCCTAGACCCTCGACCATGCTACCAAAAGAATGTCCCGGCTACCAAAAGAATAGGTGACGGAACTGAGTAAGAGTAAGACTAAGAGAAGTAAGTAAGATGAGGGTGGTGTAGATACATAGAGGGAACCCGCACCCTCACATAGTAATTCCCTCACAGATGGTGTTATGAGGTGCATCACATGGCGTAGTAATTCCCTCACAGATGGTGTTATGAAGGGCATCACGTGGTGTAGTAATTCCCTCACAGATGGTGTATGAGAGGCCTGATGATGTAGTAGTTTCCTCACAGATGGTGTATGAGGGGCCTGGTGATGTAGTAATTCCCTCACAGATGGTGTTATGAGGGGCCTGATGTGGTGTAGTAATTCCCTCACAGATGGTGTATGAGGGGGCTGATGTGGTGTAATAATTCCCTCACAGATGGTGTTATGAGGTGCATCACATGGCGTAGTAATTCCCTCACAGATGGTGTTATGAGGAGCATCACGTGGTGTAGTAATTCCCTCACAGATGGTGTTATGAGGAACTTCACATGATACTGTAGCAACTCATTCACTGCGTGGTGTAGTAGCATCGTGGGGACACCACATGGTCTGTAGTTACAGGAGGTGTGGTCCCAGGCCTCTCTATCGT